AGCCAGACTGATTGTGCTTCCTAATTTGGTTGAAATATAAACTAGTAGAAATATAAACCAAATCTTCATTAAATAAACCTTCAAAGTAATACGATGACAAAATGACAATCTAAAGTTTGTCATTCAAAACTCAGTCCTTTTCAAGCTTTGTAGAAATTTTAAATATAATTTTTCTCAAAACACCCTGCCGTTCCTTTCAAGTCTTGGAAAAATTATTGTTTTCGATTTGTGGAACAGGGGCCAAAATTAAGCTTTTTAAGGACGTTCGCGCCCAATATGTTTCTACGTACAGATAAAAAAGAATTGGAGATCACCGTGCTTGTTTTCGGAATATAAGGGACATTGAAGACCGTGCGTTTTGCAGTTAGATATTGATGGATAATTAAAACCGCTCTTTATCACTTGATGTTACAATCATGGTGTCAAAACAATACCCAGTCATTGGCGAACACGTTGTTATCATTTTCGTGGGACAATGGGTTACCATAGCAAAAGTATGACCTGCTAAAAACACCCTTAATTACAGCTTTAAAGGCCTATAATTCCAAAACGACGCGGTGAACTTTTATATATATATATATATATATATATATATATATATATATATATATATATATATATTATAAAATTTTAATAAGCATGATAAGACGCAACTTTTGGCCAGGTTTTATAAAAATCTGTATCTAGGGTTCAGAGCCACCTTAAATTTTTGAAAATTTAAGGTGGCTCTGAACCCTATGTATATAATTTTTTTAAACTTTGCAAAAAGTTGCGTCTTATCATGCTTATTAAAATTTGATAATATAACAAAATTTCACCAGCCATTTTTTAAATTATAACCCCCAAGCCCTATGCTTGCTTTTATTTCTTCCCCTGTGCGCGCTTGACGTATAACGTTGCGTGTCGCTGCGCTGTGAATTACGTGCGCAGTAAGGGTGCGCAGTAACAATGGGCACAATATAAACTTGTTGAAATATAAACAAAATCTAGATTAAATAAAATACTATACTACAGAACATACAAAACTCGTTCCTTTTTAAACTCTTTGCTTTTATATTCAATTTCTTTGAAACAAAAAAATGTCAAATTCATTTCAGAACACGTACCATTGTCTGTTTTATTAAATAAACCTTTAAAGCAATACAATGACAGAATAACAATCTATAGGTTGATATTCAAAACTTGTTCCTTTTAAAGTTCTTTTTTTTTCAAGTTCTTTGGAAGAACAAAAAAATTGCAAATTTCTCTCGGAACATCGTACTAAGGAGAATTATTTATCAATATTAACTTGTAGAACAGGAAGACTAAATTGATCTTCTTAAACTGATTTTAGAGCATCTTACTTAAATTCGAGAGGTGCACATAAATACTTGCCTATAGTCAAACGCATTATTTTAATGGAATACTTCTTTTTACGATACGTCTTATGCACGATTACGTCACACGTGTAAAACAATAAAAATGCAAGCAAGATATAAATTCCCAACCATATTTATTCGTTGTAATAATGGGTAAAAAGGTTAATGGTAATGTTTTAAGAAATAGGTGTTGGGTCATTCGAAATATAATATTGGAATATTTTAGGTCTTTAAAAAATGTTGCCTTTCTTATCGTTGTTGATGTGTACGCAGGTACTGCGTTTCCTAGGAACTAGTTCTTCAGTGAAATATGTGTAAATTACTTGACTGTTGTTACACCGGAAATAGTGCCATGTAATCTAACTATTTTGAATGTAGTATCTATTTAAATAATTTGTTAGCCGATTCTTGGTAGGATGCCTTGGTACATTCATGTTCTGCGAGCACCGTTGCTGCACTACATGTTTTCGGTTCAGCTGCGTTG